GGGATAATTCTATTACAAACTTACCATGAGTTTAATGTCTCTTTCACAAACAGTGAATGTGTGCCATATGAAACTACCATTTCCTTGAATTCCTTTAAATCTAACATTGGCACAGGGGTCCAATTAGCTCTTACAGAGCCTCTATCATTTGGTAATTCCTGTAAGGTTATTGGATATATTACCATGGGTTGTCTGAAAAGTTAGGCTGTTCGTCTCTAACCTTATAATTAAGTGTTGAAATTGGTTCTCCATTAAATTCCTGTCTGGATTTGAATATCTTTATGATCTGCTTTAATAAGTTTTTCTAAGGCCTGTGTCTAGGCACTCATAGCAACCAACTTTTTTAGAGATAAACCAAGAATTATCAAACCGACAACAAAGATTATCAACATGACAATTAATAGTATGGTAATCCTGGTCAAGTTTATTATTCCTTTATTTAATTGTTCCATTTTTAAATCAGGCATTTCATAATCATAGAGACCTAACTCTCTTCATTGTAATAGTGTCTCCCATCTTTTAATGTGGGAAAACCTCTTAACTAATTCCTCCCTTTAAGAATTCCCAATTGTCAATCCTGAAATTTGCAGGCAAATGGATGGCACTAGAAGAAACCATCCTGAGTGAGGTAACCCAGTCACAAAAAGAAAAACATGGCATGTACTCTCTCATATATGGATTTTAGACATAGATCTGGGGAGTGCCAGCCTACAATCCCATGGCCAGAGTGTCTGGGAAACAGAACCTTCATTCAATGGCTGATGGAAGCAGAGGCAGACTCCCACAGCTAAACACTGTGCTGAACTCAAGGAATCCAGTGACAGAGAGGGAGGTCTGATGAGCAAAGGGATTAAGACTGGGCTGGTTTAACCCTCAGAAACAGCTGACCTGACAAGGGTTAGCTCTTGAATCCCAGACTGAAGCCTGGGAATCCAGCATGGGACTGATCAAGACCCCCTGAATGTGGGTGTCAATGAGGAGGCCTAGGTAATCCATTGAGCCTTGGGTAATAGATCAGTATTTATCCCTGGTATACAAATGGACTTTGGGCTCCCATCCAACAATGAGAGATGCACTCTCACCCTGGACTCTCGGGGGAGGGTCTAGGCCCTGGCCTGGATGAAATGACAGACTATGGACACCCTCATGGAGGGCCTCACCCTCCCTGGGGAAATGAGGGGATATTCGAGGGGTTGGTGGGAGAGTGTGGGAGGAGGGGAGGGAAAGGGAGAGGGACCTGGAATTGACATGTGAAGCAACCTTGTTTCTAATTTAAATTTAAATTAAAAAAAAAAGAATTCCCAATTGTCACACCAAATCTGCTGGCAATGACAATTCAGATGACAGTGAGTGAGAAGCTGACTGCTGCTGTGTAGAACAGTAGAAGCCCAAGCAGGTTTCAAGGTAGATACCTAGTTTGGCAGGAAAGGAGTCCAGGGATCCAGGGAAAGACCACAACCCACTGAGAGAAAAGAAGCCAAAGAGCAGCAGCCTGAATGGGGGAGGTGTGAAAGCAGCTATCTGCTGCAGCATTTCCAACCCAAAGGCCTGCAGAGTTTGTTGCAGGAGAGGCTGCAACAGAAAAATCCCAGGCCAGCTCAGAGGGCTTGAGAAAAAGAAAGGAAAACCTAGCTAGCTGGGCAGAGACCCCAGAGGGAGCACTGTGTGTAGCTCAGGCCTGGGCTTCAAAGCCACAGGCAAGTGGTTTTTTTCATTAATTCATACCTTTCCATTGATGCCAATTTGTAGCATGAATAATAAAAACACAGAGACAGATACTAGGGTTCAAGCTGAATCTCAGAAAATCAAAGCAGCCCAACCAGTTGCTCTTACCTCTACCAAGGCTGAAATGGAGATGCTGTCTTCCCTGTGACTGAAAACTGAATCTCACATGATACTCTTTGCTTCTTCCTTATACACCTCTCCAGTGCTGGGACAAAATGCATGAGCTCTATTTCTCTTTTAGACTGATTCACTTTCATGTAGCCCTGGGTGGCCTTGAACTCACAGAGATCCATCTGCTTCTGTCTCCTGAGTACTGGAATTAAAGGTATGTGCCACCACTGCCCAGCTTCTATGGCTAACTGGTGTGACTAGCTTTGCATTCTGATCTCCAGTGGCTTTACTAAATCATAAACAATATATCACCACACTTATACAGTAGAAAATGAGAGAGGAGACAGCAGGAGAAAAGGGAGATATCCACATGGGTGTAGTAGGCCAGAGTCACAGCAGGCTTCAGGAGCAGGAGAAACATGTAGGGCATAGCAGGTCAGAGACACACTTAGACAAGAGACAAATGGTTAGAAAACAGGTAGAGGGAGGCAGAAGCTGAAGAATTGGACTCTAGAATTTGGAACCAAATTTTGTGGGTAGCAGAAGCCAACGGAAACCAATGATCCATATGTACCTCTTAAGAGTCAAATCAGTAGCTTGCTTTGGAGAGGCCAAGTCCCTTGGAAGGGAACTCATTTATACCACTCCTGGATTTCATTGCCAGATGAATGAAAAAAAAAAAGAAATAAAAAAATAAAGACATGACTGTGTATAATGGAGGAGAAAGTTTATTGTAGATAAAAGGGAAAGTATAGCCAGAGGCAGAGACATCTGGGAGAGTCCAGAGTGAACATGACCAGACTGACCAGGGCCATGGGAGGAGACAGTAAAGGGGAGAGAGGACAGAGGAGGGAGAAAGAATGGGGGAGATGGGAGGGGGAGTGAGGAGAAGAGAACCAAGAGTCCATGCAGGTAAAGGGTAGACCACAGGACCAAGTAACCAAAATGGTTGGATTATATCAGGAAGGGCAGCTTCGGGAGTGAAGTCTAACCAAATACCTGGGCTGGAGAAGTTTAGGGTAGGGAATGACATATACCCACCAAAAGGACCCTGTAATGGGTAGGGACTGAGAGATGCTGGGAGAACCTGGGCAGCCAGGTCTGTTTTGATATGTTAAGTAGGTACCTCAGCCATTCATCTGGGGTTTGAGATCTAACAAGTATGTAGAGGTGACATTAAAATTCCAAACTAGGGACTATGCTCATACAAGTATGTAATAAATCTGAAATCCTACCTGAATTCATCACTTTCACAGAAATCAACCCAAAATGTCTTTTAAATTGAAAAATAGTCTTCTCTCACAATACATAGCAATCACAATTTCCCCTCCCTCCACTACTTTTAGCTCCCACCCCAACCTCCCCTCTTCCAGATACTCTCCCCTGTGTCCTCTTCAGAAAAGAGCACGTCTCAAAGAGATGACAGATAAAACAAGATACAATAAGACAAGATGAAAGCCTTCATATTGAGGCTGAACAAGGCAATCCAATTGGAGAAAAAGTCTCAAGAACAGGCAAAAGAAGCAGAGACTGTTAGGAGTCTCACAAGAACACCAAGTTAACAGCCATAACATATATGCAGAGGATGTAATGGAGACCCATGTAAGCCCTGTGCTTGCCATTTTAGTCTCTGTGAACCAATGTAAGCCCACGTGAGCCCTGCTTAGTTAATTTGGAGGGGCATGTTCTCCAAGTGGCCCCCATCCTCTCTAACTCCACCTCTTCCACAGGGTTCACTAATCTCTGAGGAGAGGGACCTGATGGGAATCTCCAATTTAGACTCTCTCTTTTCATAATGTGTGGCTCTGGGTCTCTGCACCTGCTCCCATTTGCTGTTAGAGGAAGCCTCTCTGATGATGACTGGACAAGGCACCAATCCTAGGTCTCTGGGCTATATCCAGTCTCTGGCTTCTGGCCATCCAGGCAGTATAGGAAATGGGCTCCTGGTATGGGACTCAAGTTAAACTAAACATTGGTTGGCCACTCCCACAAGTTCTGCGCTACAAAATATTTTCAATATATATTATTTTATTCAGATAGAATCACATCCAACAATCAGGTCAAGTCAGATGTGGTCGCAGATGTGAACCCACTGTTCAGGAGGCTGAGATGTGAGGACCACCAAGTTCCAGGCCAGGTTGAACTACATAGCAAGAACTCATCTCAAAGACAAAATAAAATAATGTTATCTGGTTTAAACACTGCCAAGCTGGGTGACTGGTGAGTTCATTTTCAAGAGCCACTGATACTCTTGATTCAGGACCAGGTGACAGAAAGGGACACAACAGTTTGCCTTGACTTCCTAGAACACATTCTTATTAAATACAAAACAAACTATGAAAAAGCAGCTGGAATAAGGAGAGCTCCTGTACCATCCAGTCACCATAGCAAGCACCCCCATTGTTTGTTTAAATGAAGTAAAGCTCACCCACGTTGAATCATCCAATAAACTCCACATGCTTCGTGTGTTCTCATCCTGAAACTAGAAATGCTTTTTTTGTTGTTTTGTTTTGTTTTGTTTTTTGCCTATTACTTTGGTTCAAGAACTGGTGCTATGGCTTTAGGTGATCCAAATATTCATGAATGTTAGCCAGAATCTCAAGTGTTTCTTTAAAGAAGTAACAGTTCTTATATATGCCATTATTTAGCAGATTCCCCATGCCCACTCCCTCCCAGTGAATGTACTAATTTTAAAGACAGTGAATGCAGCAGGACAAGGACTTCAGGGAAGAAGCCCAGGTCTGCAGCCCACCACACATCTACCCACAACTCACCTTGCCAAGTGTCTCTCCACCGCATCTTCACTCATTTTAAACAAAGGATATTCTTCAACACAATCACTGCTCCCTTTTCTTCCACAATAGTGTTGCTTGCATTATTTCCTTCCTGAGAAACACTACCTTTGTTAACAGCCCTGGGAGTCTGTTCTCAGGTTAAGTCTCTTTCTAGGCCCAAGAGAGCTCAATTCCCACAGCCCTTCCTAACACTGCTGTCCTTCATAGAAGGTAATAACATATTCTTGTCACAGCACTGAAAGCAAACACCAAAGACTTAAGGCTAACTGAATTGTCTCTTATCTTGTACAACTCAAAATTGCCTGGATGAAACCAGTAAAGTGTTAAGATTTCAGTAATCATTGATATTTAAAAAAAAAAGCCATCTGCTTCAAGTTATAGAAACAATTTTAATGCAAATACTCAATAGGGCATCTTTTGCATTGCTCTCAAAATTTCATCTCTTTCTGCTGCTGTAGGCATAGATGGCTGAACTCCATTTCTTCTTCTTTGGATCATGACAGAATTCTGTACATGGGCATAAAAGAAAACATCAAAATCAGTCATGTATTAAGTGGCAATAATTTGCCAGTGATTTTCGATTGTTTCCTCAAAAAGGAAATTCTAAAACCTAAGTTTTAAAACTCCAAAACCTACTTCTGGAACTCCAGATGTTTCAATCTATTAACATTTACACTTTAGTGATTATCCCCACAGGACACATTAGCAGCAGTTGGGATAGGAATATCCTGTGAAGTACATATAATAGTAGATATGGTCCACCTACGAAAGCTATGCATGATTATTAAGTGAGACTAATTATTAGAAAAGGAGCAGGAGCTAGACAGGGAACTCAGGGAAGCAAAAGTGAATTATCAATGTATTCAACACATTTTAACAACTGTGACTGCCTGTGGGAAAGGCGACAGAAACGGAAGTCTAAGGAGATGTATGACATCAGGGTAACCTGTACTTTGCCTGTGGGAAAGGCGACAGAAACGGAAGTCTAAGGAGATGTATGACATCAGGGTAACCTGTACTTTCCCCTCTTCTTCAGGAAACACAAAATTATCACAAGGCTATTGTGTGACTACAGATACTTCCCTAGGAAGACTTTATATTAAAACTGAGGCATTAATCCTTAGAATGAAACACTCTCTCAAGGACCCCATAGAGCTGAAATACCACACAGATGATGAGTTTGAAGGTTAAATTTCCCTACGGCCATCATTGGGAAGACTGCGGGTTATTGATTGATACCAGCTTCAGGTAAGAGCCAAGAGCAGAGTTTTACAAGAAGTGTGCCAAGATGGGCTTACCCAGAATCGCCGGCAGTTTTTGTACTTCAAGAAGTAATTGGAACATCTCTCCCTGTCATAGTTATTTTCATCCATACATCTGGTAGACGCATCAGATTCCTTAAATATGTAAGAGAGCCATCATTTAAAATGTGGAATGTGATCTGAGAAAGACCCAAACACAAAGGCTTCTGAATCTGCCTCCCCTCTGAGCAGATGTGAAATGGTTTATTTTTGTTCATTTTAGTGGGTAGACTTATAAAACCCAAATAATATAGTCAACTATTCCAGAAATCACTCAACTTAAAAAGTCACCTTTTTTTCCAGTCTGGGCCAGTTTTCTAAGTATCTGATGAGATGAGTTTGAGCCAAAGCACTGATTGTGGTCATTTGTTCCAGAAGTTGGAGCAAGGTAGACCATGCTGAGCACTGCTCTACAAGCGGGAGAAACCTGTCTCCCAGCTCCCAGCGCAGGTCTCCTGGCTTTCCCCAGGTCTCATGTTGACTTGATGTTTGATCTCAATGCTCGTTCTCAGATGCCAAGTAAATTACACGAGTAAGTGATCTACATCAAGGCAACCTACATTAACAGCATTCATCTAGATGCATTTTTGGCTATCATTCGCTACTTTATGCAAGCATACTATTACATATGCAATTTTAATAGTTATCATTAATGTGACTTCAAAAAGAAAGTTAGCAACACAGGGCCATGAGTTTAAAATGAAGTAGGTACCACTGGTAATTAAACTTAAGCTGTCTGAACTAGCAGCAGTTTGGACAACAAGCTTCAAAGTGAAAGGTATGACTATGAGAAGTCATCTAAAACAAAGATTCAAATAGGCAGGGAATTTGCTTCACATATCTAAGAAACATACCTTATTTGTTGAAAACAGAATATACAAACCAATAGACATATACTGTATGTGTATTTTTGAAAAATCCATACAGGATATTGGATTAGTGCTCAGCATGGCAACAATATGGTAACTTTTATATTGTATGTCTCAGAAGTGGCAAGGCCACAACCAAGTGTTACATGCTATACCCAATTAATGTCAACAAAAGCTTACTATTTCAACACAATGTTGTTTATATGATACCTTTGTGAGAACCATTAACCTTAAAATAAGATAATCACACTGTCAACCCATGACTCAGCCAGGATGTATCAAATAAGATTAAATACTTGCTGTGATTAAACCCATTGTTTTTTAATTTGCTGTATTTGTACCATGTTTAGATTCAGGATTTTCCTTAGCATTTCATATGCTTGTCAAGTTTTACAGTGACAACCAAACACTGCTTCTTTCACAACTAAGCAAAACTGAAGAAAAGAGTCTTTGTTAGCTACATTTTGGTCATTTTAAAATGCTAAGAGTGAAATAAAATACACTGGCCAGGAATATCTTTTTCACAGAATAATACTTTATTCAGTAACTGTATAAAACAGATGCCCACAAAATTAAGAGTGGTTTTCCCAAGTTAACACCCATTGACAATGAAAAACAAACCACCCTACCGACAAGCAAGGGTTTATGTCAGGATCTCTCAGCCTCCGTGTAACTATGGGCATCTTGTCTTCTCACTGAAGAGAGATGGGAGAAAAACAGGTCAGAAGGAAATGACCAGAAAATGTTATCATTCTACAAGCATAGAAAACTTAGTTCTCAAAGTAGAAGGTAGTCTAGGAAACAATGGAACACAGTGAGTGTATCAAAAAGCCAAGTAACTGCTTAGTTAACGTTCTGAAAGGCCACAGTTTAAAAAACAATTACAAGTTTTATTCCAGCACTACCTTCTACTTAAATAACATGTCCCTGGATTGAAGGGAGTCAGGGTATCCTAGTGTAGTTCAGTAATTTTCCAATTGAGTCTTAAAAATACAGCTGTGCGCGGGGTGGTGGCGGGGCACGCACGCCTTTAATCCCAGCACTTGGGAGGCAGAGGCAGGCGGATCTCTGTGAGTTCGAGGCCAGGCTGGACCGACAGCCTCCGAAACAATACAGAGAAACCCTGTCTCGTAAAACAAAACAAAACAGAAAAATACAGCTGTGCAAAAAGTCTATATTGATTAAAGACACCACATTTCCCTAAGAGCCAGTTAGTTGTTTCATGCAGTCTATAAGTCCTGGTTCAGGACAACTGTTCTTCAAACTTCAATTCAAGTGGAACTGGTGACAATTATCTTCAAAGAAGGGGGCAGGGTGTAAAAAGCAATAGTCATAGTTATTTCAGAATGGTCTTTATTTGTTTCAATATATTGATATAGCATTGATGAACCACCCACTCTTTAAAAGAAAAATCCCTACACCAAGCGTAAGGGACTAATCTGGCTTACACGCCCAAATCCTGCTCTAGTTTAATCATTTTTCTACCTAAAAATCAAAGTAGAATCCAGAGAAATAACACAGTATAACATACACACTTCCACTGAATTAAAAAAACAAACATACATGGGCCTTTTCAGAAGTCAGAATTTTTGTATGAAAAGTCACAAAAAAAGTTAAAAGAAACAATGTATATTCATAAAAACTAAATCAAGTCCATGAACTCTTCATAAGTGAATGTATTCTCAGTCAATGGTCACCCTGTCCAGTTCCTTCTATTCTGAGAAGGATTAGGATGAGCAGGCCAAAGGAACCCAACTCTTCCATGGGATACAAAGGATGGATATGATTATTCTTCAGTCCTTTAACTTGCAGTAACCACTAAATAATTATTTTATTTCATGACCTTCATTGAAAATATCCAGCTAACAGAAGCATCTTGATGGAAACTCAGTACAGAGTCCAACTGCATCTAGAAGCTTTTCGTCCTCGGAAGACAGGATTTTACAGGATTGCTTCTTCCTAAGAGAAGTAATGGGACTAAGAAAATTTATAAGCTACTGTTTCATATCTATCCTGTCATGTCTTCACAGAACTCTGCTTGATTGTTCATACACCAGACGTACAATAATCTCAGCAACAATCAGACACAAACATAATTCAAGCTGAGTCCTAATCATGAAGGAATTCTGTTCTATTTCATTATCATCAGCCAGAAATTCTTTAAAAATACCTACACAACAGAGGCATCAAGTTTGCTGCTCCAAACTATTCCCATTTATTGTCTTTTATTCTGGATTCTAAATACAAGTCACTGTAAACATGAATTTCCGAATGCCACCTCATTCGTATGAATGAGTCCCCGTGTTAACTGTTCAGGAAGAGGAAATGTCAATTTACATGGAGGAGTGGGGCTGAAGTGCAGGATGGAGTGCCCTGCTAAAGAGGCCTTATCTGCTGACTCTTTGAAGATTCAGCAGTGAACAACTATTACAATGCTCCACTACTTCCAAGAGGATACTCGGAAAGAAAATCACAGATTTGAGGGAAGACTGAAAACCTACAGCACATCTGAGGAATAACTACAAAATCTACTCTAAGGGGCAAACTGCTTACCAAAGAAGTTCCGGATTCCTACTCTCCTCGTAGCTTTGATCCGTGGTCGGGGAAGGGCACGTTACTGAACACGTCCAGGCCCCCAGGCTGCTCACAGTCTGGTGTGAGTGTTCAATCCGGAAGCAGAAACACCACGCCGTAAACCTGGGTGAAGAGGACCAGGGACAAAAAGTCAAAGTACACACCACCGGGAGCTAGGTGGTCGGGGGAGACTCCCAAAGGATGCGACTCCGGGACCGCATGCCTTCCGGGGTGCCGCTCCCAAGTATGAGACAGCAGACAGTGGGCACAGGTGAACACGACCCAGGGGCGGGGAGGGGAAGGGCAGCAGAGCGCGGGAAGCCGGGGAGGGCAGGACAGGGAATGACCCAATCCGGGGTGCCCAGACCTGCATGGGGTCACCTTCCGCTGCCCTGGCCCGAAGAATCGCGTAGTGCGAGCAGCGACCGCGGGGCGCGCCGCGGACGATCTGACGCCCCGAACTAGGGTCGGGTTCCTCGGCTAGTGTAGTCCGGGGCCTGCCGTAGAGGGAGAGAGGGAGGGGCCGGAGACCACTCACCACCGGTCGCCTCTCCACCAGCACCCGAGCCGGCTCCAGCTCCAAACACGTCAGTGGCTCACGCAGCAGGACCTTAAGTAGCGCGCACCCCAACGTGCTGCCCCCGCGCCCCCCGTTTCAGCCCGTCCAATCCTCGCGCGTTGCTGCCCGATTGACAGGCGCGCGGGACCCTGTGCGGTGGGGGCGGGCCCTGTTAGCTCCGCCCTCGGGCAGCGGGAGGAGGGCCCAGGCAGGAGGAGTAGGTGGGACGCTGTGAGACCCCGCCCTCTCCCCGCCCCGCCGCGCCCCCCGCCCTGCAGCCTCACTCTTAACACTTCTGCCTGACGGGCAGCCGCGCCAACCAATGGGCCCGCCGGAGCCTGGCGGCGACCGCACGGACTGGCCGGGCCCGGGGCGGAGCGTGAGGGGGGCGGGCACCGCGGCGGGCGGGGGCCAGGGCGGGCCGGCGGGCGGGCGCGGGGCGGGGGCGGCGGCCGAGCGGGCGGGGGGAGGCGGCAGTGGGCGCGACGTCGGCGGCTGCGGCGGCGGCGGCGGCGGCGGCGGCAGCTGCAAGTTGAGCTGCAGGGGCAGCGCATACACTACAATGGCTGCTGGAAAGAGGCGTAAGGAAACAATTTCCAGGCCCGCCGCGTCCAGCCCGAAATATGAGAAAAAAATTATTAGAAATTCCGCGGGCGGTGTAAAGGCGGCGGACGGGCCGGAGGGAGGATGTTAAAGCCCCGCGGTGAGTTCTCCCGGGGTCCGGGACGGCGGGGAGGCGTTTAGCGGGAGGAATATCAGGGTTATTTAAATTATGGGACTAGCCGAGGGGGCAGAGGAGCCGCGGCGGCGGCAGGAGGAGGAAAAGTTTGTGCTACTCCCAGCCCCTGCTCAGGACCCCAGAGAGAAAAATAATAATAAAAAATCAAATAAAATCGTGCGGCGGGGCTGCGAGGACTCCCGAGGTCGCTGCTGACAGGGCAGGGGGCGACGCGGCTGGGGACCCGAAGGTGAGGTCGGTGGGAAAAAAAAACCCTTTTATTCAGGGTCTGGAAAGTTTGAAAAGTTTTCCTCCTCCTCCTCCTCCTCTCTGGTGCTGTGAATATTGTGACAGCGGCAGCGGCAGCAGCGAGAGCGGAAGACATTAGAGACCCGAAAAATAAGGGAAAAATTAATATAAATTCGGTTTTGAGAGGAAACTCTCCGCGTTTTCCACCAAAACATCCCGGGGGAAGGTCGCTTCCCAAAGGGCCTGGCGGAGACCCGCGGTCGGCAATATTTGGGGGGCACTGGGAGTGACTTGGGGTAACTTTGCCCCCTTCACCGAAGAGGTTTTTCTTTTCTGGAGAAATGCATTTGTTTTTGCCCTCTGCCCAGGTGGGATAGCCGAGTCGGGGTGCGGGGTCCGCGGGGCGCCGGACCCAGCAGGGTGGCGGCGGGGGCGTAGGGGGAGGGGGTGCTAAATGAAAGCAGGAGATCGGGACGGAGCAGGGACAGCTTGTTGTCAGTATCATAAACAACCAAAATGGAGGGAGAACTCAGGCATATAACCAAATAAAAATTGTTAAAAAATCGCAAAAAATCCCTAAAAATCCGGGATGCTCCCCCCTTTCTCGCTAAAGGTAAAAGTGTGAACCGCCTTTCCCCTGAAGTCCATTTTGACTTTGCAGGGACCAAGGAGTTAATATTTATTTATTTTTTAAAACTTTCGAAGGGCAAAAGCCTTTTATAACTCCACCGACAATGAGAAAACGTGAAAATCCAATGCAAGAGAAGCAGGGGGAGGGAGGGGGAGGTGGTAGTGCAGAAACTGCTAAACTTATTGGTAATGTGGACTGATCTGAGATAAGATAAACACTATATTTGCTATTTTATAACTCCCTTTTAATTATCTTTGCGGGGTTTGCTTTTTTTGGGTAGGAAAAAAGTGATGCCATTTTCTTAATAGAGTTAATGTGTGTGATTGGAAGAATAAACCTTTGCGACTTTAGATTGCATTTTCGTTGCATTTATGCCTCGGGTTTTGTTAGTGGCTCCCTCCTTTCTTTAAACTGGGCTCTCCAGAGGAGGGGTGGAAAGGTGCTGTTGCCCAGAGAGACTGGAGGGCGAGACTGGCGAACCTTCTGGGGAGGGGTGGGGAGTTGTTTGGCTTCTCCCTTCCTGACACGTTTGCTTCACCTGTTCGCCCTCACTAAGGAATGTTGGACTGAGGTTTTCTGGTTTTATGTATATAAAAGGATGGTGCCTCTTGCATCACATTGATGTTAGTGGGAAAGTGCTGCTGATGTTGGTTCCACGTGGGATCTGGGACAGAGCAGGGCATTTTAAAGGGACAGCTTCTCTTTTCTTAGGGTTTTCATCACCTACGCAGACTTACTGTCTGAGGACCAGAGGCAGAGGTGCTGGAAGTGTGTGGTGATGGAAGAGCCTTCTCTTTCCATTACTCAAGTGCACCCACGTTTAGGAGTGATGGAGGGAGAGGAGGGATAAACAAGCCCAGCAGAAGATGGATATGTGTGTGGCTTAGTTTTCATCCACGCTGTTCTTTTATGTAACAAGCCCTCCCAGAAACTTTTCATGTTACATTGCTTTGCTCTGGAAGCTGATTTTGGAAGGAATTGTGGAAAAATGGAAATAGTTGAAGGTGTGTGGTGTAATGGTATAGCATTATTGAACAGTTATGAATTCTGTGCAGTGAGATCAAAGAGCCATGTATGCCCATAATGGGGGTTTACAGCCATTTTGTAAAATACCTAATATTCAGTTTGGCTTCAGGTACATTGAGGACTTCTGATTGAAAATTACAGGCAGAGTGGTGAAGATTCCTTAACATTATAAGCAGTAGACATTTCTGGGGAGGCTGGAGTGGCTCTCAATGAAGACCATGGAAAAGTTTACATACACATCCATTTTTAAAGTCCATCCTATGCATATGGTGTAACTTTACACTTTGGAAATGAAAATGCTTGAAAATCCTGAAACCTATCGATTTACATCTTTTCAGCTGAAGTGATTTGTGATTAGTAAACAGGAAATGTTTACTAATCATTAGCTACTGTTGGCTCTTGGTGTCTTAGATGTCCATAATATTTTCAAAAGGTAAAATGTGTACATTGTTAACTGTGCTGTATTTGAGATTAAGACAGATCTGGAATGGAAACAACTTGCATTCAGTTTCCAGAGGCATATGGAATTTGGGAAATAAATCTCTATTTTGCTTTGTTTTTACAATTTGTAGAAATGGATCAGAGTTAGAACTTAATTTTTGGGCTTCTTAGGCAATGTTCTCTTTTGCCATAATATATAAAAATTATTATTTTAAAGTCCATTGTGTGTTAGTTCCTGTTTCTAACTGAACTTCTCTCAGCACCTTTCTGTAAATGCCTCCAAGAGAACACTATCAGTGTCCCGTGAGCACACCATCCTGTGGTTTTCCACTTTGGAAACAGCTACAGCTTTCTAAGAAGTCACTAAAGAAAACACAGTGTCACAGATCACTATTAAATCATAATGGCTTGGAAGGAGATTAAAGTATCAATGAAGAAGATAACCCCTCCCCACTATAACCTTCTGTCCAAAGGTTTCTGAATTCCAGCATTACTTATAAGACCTCTGAAGTTTATTTTGCATTTTCATTGTGTTTTTGGCTTAAGATAGTTGTTTTGACCGTAAATAGTCAGGATTATGTTTTGTGCTTAAAATACATGACACTTTCGGATACCGAACAGTTGCCACTTTGACAAACCAAATACTAATACCAATAAATTCAATGTCAAAATCAAGGCAACTTTTGCTTTTAGTCGTTAGCTCACTGAGCTATTTAAGTTGTTTGGGCACTTAAAAATAGTATTCCATTCTTTATTGTCAGCCTCAACAGAAGTTCTCCTATTAAAGGTTATTTTTTTCTCATATAGAGTGATATAAACTTTGTGTTTGGGCTTTGTACAACCAGCTACTTTTCTTAATTAGAAAATGTTCTTAAATGCCTAGATTAAAGCCTGTACTTCTTAGAATCTTGTTTAGATAGGGGGTACCCCATAGCTGGTTTGAATTGGTTGTATAAGGTTTTCCGATGCCTTAGAAATTCTACCTGTTGAACTTCCTTTGTCTAGAAGTCCTATTCAGTTATGCCAATTCACAGAAATCATCTGAGGATATCTCCTGCTCTACATTCTTACTTTACTCAAAGTCAGAGAAACCTCGCCGATTTAGGTTCCTGAGATTTAGATGCCCAGTGTTGCTTTTCAAAATTCTGGAAAGAATTGTTCTGCTGTGGTGGATGATTTAGTGAGTGTGGGCTAGTACTGATAAAACTCCACATCTGTGTGTTTATTATAAGCAAAATATTTTAATAAACAAACATTTTATAGCTAAAGTAGTGAATTTGCCTTTATCAATATAGGTGGAAATTTTAAGAATGCTGTTTATGTTTTAATATCAATCAATATAGGAATTTTCCTTCATTATTATCATAATCTTTATTGTTATTAAATACATTTTCATATGGCATATTAGAAATTGTCCTAAGGATTAAATTATTGTTTTCTAAATTAAATGCCATGTTCCTGTTGTAGCTGGGATTTTAAAAGACAGACAACTAAAACCTATGTCCATGGCTGTCTTTGAAGTTTACTTCAATAATTATTTTTCTCAAGTTGTATAATCAAAATTTTCATCCTTCTAGGAATGTTTTAATATTATTTGTAATTTTGTTCTTTGGGAATTTAACATGTAAAAAATTAACCTGTTACACATGAGGGGAGGGTTTCAGAAGAAGAAAAGTGTATCTGTTGAGCAAGAGCTAAGCAAGTGGATCTGTTCATGAGCCATCATTTAAAGTGTTTCAAGAGCCTGATAAACATTTTTTCTGAAACACTGAATATGTTGAAAGCATGTCAGTCATTGCTCAGAAACAAAGGTAGCCCTTTATTGCTTTAATTTTAACAGGAATTAATGTAGCCAGCATATTTAAGCAATTAGTAAGTGTTTAGGTAGCCTTAGGAAAGTGTTTACAAACAAGTTCAGTTCGAGGGCAGGGTACATGGTTCTCTGTGATTTCAGAACTCATGCAAAGAGCTCCTTTCCATCACAACACACAGACTCTTCAGAAGTGATTTATTGTTGCCTTTTTTGTAATCATATCATTGCTAACTTTTTTGAAACTTTCCAATCTGAAATCTACTATTACTGCTTTTTCTTCACATCAGGGCAACTTTTATAGCTCATTTGAAAATTTAATTTCAGGTTAATTGAGAAAGTAAATGAATATTTCTAGAATTTTTATGAAAGGTTGGTGTGTAGTTGTTAACATTTGACATTATGAGAAATATGTCTGTATAAAAGCCTAATAGAAATTATTACAGAGGCATAGATTGATTTTTGCTTTTCAAATTACTGGCCTATCTCCCTGAGGTTAGCATTCTACCTAGTGTGTCCTCCTGTCTGTGTGTCCTCCTTACCAGGGGAGAATTGACCAGGAGGATATGGTGATACTGACTATCAAAGACATTTGAATGTTTTTGTGTTCTGATTTTGTGTATGTACTAGTGTTTGTTATTCTTAAGGAACTTTACTTTTTTAACGCATATCCAAGTACAAAAATGTTACTAAACAAATAATATCTCATTTTCAGAAAGTGAAGTAGTGTAATATTATTAAAATTGTTAGTGTTTAAAAGTCCCTGCATGTCTTGTAAACAGAGTCACTGCAGGATCCTGGTTTTAAAACTAAGCACAGTGTGTGTTG